CCCACGTGGGAGACCGGATGGAGTTCCAGGCTCCTGGCTTGGACCTGGCCAGCCCCCCACCGTTGTGGCTACTTGGGGAGTGACCAGGAGATGGAAGACCTCTCGCTGTCTTTCCCTGTCACTCTGCCTCTCAAATCAATAAGAAATCTTTTTTAAAAACAGCAAGAAAGCAAGCACTAGTCAAGCTACTCTTTTTTTTTTTCACAAAAAATGTAAAACACTGTCTCAGTGTTTCTGTTTGAAGTCAGTGTACTGAATAAGCTGGCCTCACCTTTTCATTTATTCATCTATCGCCATGGACAGAAGAAAGAGCTTTTAAAATTGTCAAAGACTGGCCGGCACGGCGGCTCACTAGGCTAATCCTCCGCCTTGAGGCGCCAGCACACCGGGTTCTAGTCCCAGTTGGGGCGCCGGATTCTGTCCCGGTTGCCCCTCTTCCAGGCCAGCTCTCTGCTGTGGCCAGGGAGTGCAGTGGAGGATGGCCCAAGTGCTTGGGCCCTGCACCCCATGGGAGACCAGGAGAAGCACCTGGCTCCTGCCATCAGATCAGCGGTGCGCCGGCTGCAGTGCGCCAGCCGTGGCGGCCATTGGAGGGTGAACCAACGGCAAAGGAAGACCTTTCTCTCTGTCTCTCTCTCTCACTGTCCACTCTGTCAAAATAAATAAATAAATAAATAAATAAATAAATAAATAAATAAATAAATAAATAAATAAAAAATTGTCAAAGACTGGGGCTGGCGCTGTGGCGCAGGGGGTTAATGCTGGCCTCCCATATGGGCGCAGTTTCGAGACCCGGCTGCTCCACTTCTGATCCAGCTCTCTGCTGTGGCCTGAGAAAGCAGTAGAAGATGGCCCAGGTCCTTCGGTCCCTGCACCCACGTGGGAGACCCGGAGGAAGAAGCTCCTGGCTCCTGGCTTCGGATCAGTGCAGCTCTGGCCATTGCAGCCAGTTGTGGAGTGAACCAGCGATGGAAGATCTCTCTCTCTCTCTCTCTCTCTCTGATTCTCCTCTCTCTGTGTAACGCTGACTTTCAAATAAAATTTTCCCTACTTGTTATTACTATCGTTCTACGTGACTGCAGGTTGCACGGCCACTTTATAGTCGCACACAGCTGCACAAACCCGAGTGTGTGTGTGTGTGTGTGTGCACGTGTGTCCATGTGGGTGCCGGCGCTGCAGGCCGCAGCTTAGCCCGCCCTGCCGCAGCGCCGGCGGCGCCTCACCTCCTGAGCGTTGTGTGTTGCCACATTTCACTCAGTCCTCACCTGGATGACGTCGGTGACGTCGGTCTTTCGTTTTGCCTGTCCTCCACCAGCTGCGTTACCAACATTGCATTTGCTTCCCTTCCCGTCCCGTCCCGTGAAGGACTTGCGGCACCCGGCGTGGCCTTCGTCAGAGCCCCCGCCTGGGCCCGGTGCCGGTTCTGTAGGGAGGTCCCTCGGTCATTCTGGCCGTCTCCTGCGGGCGGTCTGTTATCTCTCCCCGAGGAAGCAGTCATGTCATTGAGGTTTTCAGGCTTCTTAGTAACTTTCAGCATTAAAAAACTGTCGGGGGGGGGGGGTGCTGAGAGGCTGCTCGGGATGCCTGCAGCCCCCTCGGTGTCTGGGTTCGAGCCCCGGTTCCGGCACACCTGGGAGGCAGCAGGTGCTGGCTTGAGTGCAGGCCAAGTGCTACCCAAACCTTGACATGCTTTAATTTTCTTCAAGAAACCAATTCTGTTTTTAGGATTTACTTATTTGAAAGGCAGAGTTATATATATAGAAAGAGGTCTTCCATCCACTGGTTTACTTGCCAGATGGCTTCAACAGCCAGGACAAGACCAGGCCAAAGCCAGGAGCCAGGAGCTTCTTCCGGGTCTCCCACGTGGGTGTAGGGCCCCAACGACTTGGGCCGTCTTCTACTGCTTTCCCAGGCGCATTAGCAGGGAGCTGGATGGAAGTGGAGGAGCCAGGACTTGAACCGGTGCCCATGTGGGATGCCGGCACTGCAGGCGGTGGCTTTACCCACTGCGCCACAGCGCCGGCTCCAGAGCTGTGCATTCTTTATTAAAGGAACCGGCACTTAGGAAGGCTGGTGTTTTTCTTCTAGTGTCCCCTGGTAGTCTGTAAAGCAGAGGGGAGCCCAGCAGATGCTGGGGCCGTGGACGGAGAGCGGAAGCACAGAACAGCGACCTGGCCGTGTCCACACAGGAAACTCCCCTGTGGTGCTGAGGCAGCCGTGTGGATGGGGCCGTTCTGACCTCCGGCCAGGCCAGACTGCCGGGCTGCACTCAGCCAGACGAACTGCAGGGTGAGTGACTCCACAGTGGTCTGGGCCGGGCGCCGAGTGCAGCTCAATCCAAACCAGCGTCTCCTGTAGGAACCAGCAGCTCCACACGGCTGATCGGTCCCGACGCTCACGGTAGAGGCCGGCGCCGGCGCTGCGGGGTGAGCTGCTGCCTGTGAGGCAGGTGCCCCATAGGAGCACCGGTTCGAGTCCTGGCTCTCCACGTGCTGGGAACACAGCCCCCCGCTGTGGAGTTCCCCACATCTGGGGAAGTCACGGGGGCGTGCAGTCCACGAGCCTCGCCCTGGGAAGCCACCTTGGCCTGGCGACTCCCCTGCCAGGTGAGTACGGCCGCTCCACTTCCCGCCCCACTCCCTGCTAACGCGCCTGGGGAGTACTTGGGCCTCTGCCACGCACGTGGGAGACCTGGATGGAGCCCCGGGCCCCTGGCTTCCGCCTGGCCCAGCCTGGCTGTTGCTGCCGTTTGAGGAGAAAGCAGCAGATCTTTCCAACTCTGCCTTTCCGATAAGTAAGTCTTAAAAAGGTGGGGCGGGGAGTCCGTTGCCCCCTCGGGATCCTGACCACAGCTCTGGGGCAGCCAGGGATGTAAGGGGCCCACGAGGGGCAGGGGCCCAGACTGTGGGCGTGAGGAAGGGCTCGCCTCACCAAGGACCCCTGAGGGCGGGAGGACACAGAACAGGTGTGGGAGGAAGTCATGAACCCCAGGGCGGGGCTGCCGGCAGCACAGGATGCCGGGGGCGGTGTGAGTTTCGGGGGAGGAGTGATTTCCGGTGCAGCACAGGGGGCTGCTGGCACAGACGCCCCAGGGGTCGCTTCGCGGACCCTCGGGCACACGCCGTTCTCGCTTGCTGCATCCTGCAGACACCCTGGCTGAGACAGAGATCAGCCAACAGCCCAGGGCTTCCCCTGGCCTCACAGGCGCCCTCACTGCTGCTCAGCCTCCGTGGCAACAGGCGCCTGCCTCCCCCGCTGCCCTGGGCGAGCTGCCCCACGGCGGGCAAGGACACTGGCGACCTGCAAGTGTGCACTCAGCAACGTCCACGCAGGTGGGCGAGTGACTGATGCGATCCACGGGTTCCCTGGGAGGACAGGCAGCCACGTGGGAGCACGCCCGACTGCTGGGATCCGGGAGTGAAGGGGCAGACAGGCGGGCACCTCCCGCTGGCCACGCCCCCTCCATTCCCCAGTGCCTGTGCTGGGAACCTACTCATCAAAGCCCTGTCTTTGGGGGTGGGACTTGCGGGCGAGTGGGACTTAGGGGTGAGTGGACGGGCCAGGGGGTCACGGCGGGAGTGGCCGTCCCAGGTGATGAGCGGGTGCCAGCACCGGTCTTGGACTTGCCAGGCTGTAGACCCAGCCCGACTTCCTGTTACAGCAGCGGAACGTGGGCTGAGGCGCCTCCTCAGTCGCTCAGAGCCCCACACGCAGGCGCCGCCGTGCAGCCCAGACCACAGGCCCACAGGCCCACTGGGGCGCTGCAGGAGCCGTCGCTGAGCCCAGTTCTGGTGCAGTGCTGGTCCCAGCCCCCGGGGAGCGGGGGGCCGAGGGGGCGGGGATGGGTCGTGGTCCATGCTTCCGGGGGTCTCCATTCCCAGCCAAGGGCTGCCACCACCTTCTGTGTCTGCAGGCAAACAGAAAACCAATCCATCTCCGGACTCTCTGCCACGAGTCTGCGTGAGAAGTCGGCCCCCCAGCCAGGAGCCCTGCGAGGGCTGTGGGTGGAGGAGAGCAGGCCCCGGCTGGGAGAGGTTCAGTCTGCAGCAGGGCCAGGCTTCCGGCTTTGTGGGTGTCGGGAGGCCACGGTACCAGCCCTGCCCCTCATCCAGGGTCCAGCAGCTCCTGCGGTGGCCTCCAGGGGGCGGACTTCCCCAGCCTCCCGGGCAATGTGCCGTAACAGGCTGACATCCTTTTCTGGCTCCTCCCTCGTTTGGCAATGGCCTGCCAGGTGACAGAGCAAGTTCCCGCCTGCCACCTTGACCTGGGACAAGCCGGGGGGAGGCCTCCCTCCTGGAGACGGGGCCACCTGTGCAGGAGGGGCCGCTGGAAAGCAGAGGGAGCCGCAGAAGAGACCCTGCCCTCCAGAGCAGCGAGGCCCCAGCCGCGGTCTCACTTCCTACCCGGTGCTGCTGACCGCAGCGTCCTGGGGGCTGCCCAGGCCGGAGAAGGCCGGCCACTGCCGCCAGGGGATGACAACACACCACTCCCTCCAGCCAGTGACCTTAGGAAAACGCGGAGTTCCTCGTGGGCGGGACTGTCGCAAGGGTGCAGTGAGGCAACGCACGTGGACCCCGGCCCAGCCGAGCTGGCCGCGACCACACAGCGTCCTGCCTGTCCGAAGAACTAGGGGAGCCAGCTCCCACCCAGCCAGACTCCTGAGCCCGACTTCCTAGGGGCTGGCTCCAGTCAGCACAGGCGGGGGGAGGCCTCCCTCCTGGAGACGGGGCCGCATGGTCTCCACGGCCCCCCTCCAGAGTTCCTGGCTGTCGGTCCGGCACCCCACCCGGCCCGAGCTCCTGAATCACCAAGGCGCCTGGGCAAGGCCAGACCCTGCCTGGCCAGGGTCCCTGGAGAACCACAGCCTCACTGGGCAGGAAGGAGCCGTGGATGGACGCTGGCAGTGCTGGTGTGCAGTCTGGGAGCTCTCCTGGGCCTCTCAGTCCCACCCCAGAGGCCTGCGCCCAGCTCGGGCCCAAGAGAGAACCAGAGGCCGAGGGTCATCGGCAGAGGCAGGCTTTATGGGAAAGGGGCCGTTGGAGCGCCCTGACGCTCAGCTGCCCCTTAGGCAAGCCCCCTCTCCCCACCAAGGACCACAGTCCTGTCCCCGACACGGGGCCCCCGGCGGCTCAGGCAGCAGCCGACAGGCCACGGAGGTAGTCTGCGGCCAGGGGCAGCAAGGCCCAGTTGTCGGTCCGCAGGGCCACAGGCACCCCGTCCACCTGGGGCGCCTCCAGCCGCAGCAGCAGCTTCGAGTCTGGGGGCAGGCGGATGGCTACGTGGTAGCTGGCAGGAGGCCGCGCCGCCACCACAAACGGCTCCAGGTGGCAAGACACCAACGTCTCCAGCCCCTGCGGCCCCAGCGCGCACCACACACGGCTCTCGGCGCCCCCCGGCAGGCAGGAGTCCCAGAGCTCCTCAAAGAAGCCCGGCTCGGCTCCCCTGGGGGCCTGGGGGAAAGGCAGGAAGAGATGGGAGAAGGTCACAGTCAGAGGCGGCAGGCGGGCGTGGCATGTGAGGCCAGCGGGCGTGGTGTACAGGGCCTGGACGTGCAGGCGGGTGGGGGCCGGGCGCCTGGGCTGCAGGGGCAGGAGCAGAGGGCTGGCCGGGCGGCTGGGGCACAGGCAGGGCACGTGGACGGCCCCCAAGGGGGCGTAGAGCTGCCCCTCCACCCGGAAGCGCAGCTCCAGAGAGTAGGCGGGCTCCAGCACCTCCACCTGGAGCTGCAGCACCGGACACGGCCCGGTGGCCACGCGCGGCCCCACGCTCAGCCGCATGGGGGCTGCAGCCTCCCGCACCATCAAGGCTGCCGCGAAGCCCTGGTTCTCGGCCACCAGTGAAGAGGCCATCGCTGGTGCAGCGAGTGAAGGGCCCAGGGCCAGCCCCAGCTTGGGTCCTGCCAGGTGGGCCAAGAGGACGTAGTAGAGGCGGGCATGATCGCGCCCGTCAGGGTCCTCCAGCCGCCGGGCCAGCGCCTGCAGCAAGTCCGCCAGGCCGCCGCCCCCGCCGCTCCCCAGCAGGGCCCGGCACACCCGCAGCAGTGCCTGCTGCAGGCCCCAGTCGGGGCAGTGGGCGGCCGCGGCCTGCAGGAAGTGGAGAGTGGCGCTCTGGGAACCCCCGCCCACCACCCTGGCCAGCACTTGCAGGTGCCAGCCGAGAGCCGCGTCCCCGCCTGGCCGCGACACCACTTCCCGGCACAGCGCCACCCTCAGGGGCTCCCCCAGCTCAGGGCCTACCCGGTCCAGGAGGTCCACAAAGTGGGGAGCCAGCACAGGCCGGGCCCGGTACAGCTGCGCCAGCCCGCGCACCAGGGGCGTCAGCACTGCGGGCTGCCCCGCCAGGCAGTGGGCAACCAGGTACGAGGCCTGGAAGCAGAGTGTGGCCCAGGCCCGGGGGCCGCCGTCCAGGGCCGCCCGCTGCCGCAAGCCGGCCAGCAGCTCCTCCAGGTAGCGCTGCGGGCTCCCACCCTGGCCTCTGTCGTCCTCTTCGGTGTCCTCGGCACACAGCAGGCACAGCAAGTGCAGGCGGGCCAGGAGGGCCGCGGGCTCGTGCACAGGGCTGGGCAGGAGGCCGTGGCACAGCCGGGGCCCTAGCAGCAGCGGGGCGGCCTCCTCGCCTTCGGGGCCCAGCGGACAGTTTTCGGGGAAGCTCAGGAGGCAGTGGAGGTAAAAGAGGTGGGTGGGGAGGGGCAGGGCCGGGTGCTGGGCAGCCAGGGTGAGCCGGCGGAGCAGCAGGGCCTCGTCCTGGGCCGTGAACAGGGCCTCGCCGAAGGCCGCCTTGAGCGCCAGGACCGCGTGCAGCAGCGCCGGCCGAGCCGTGCCCAGCAGCCGGACCAGCTGCGGCTTGAAGAGCGCCGGTGGCTGCCCCCGCAGCCCGCGCAGGGCCCCGCAGAGCAGCCACAACAGCTGGGCCTGGGCCACAGGGGCCAGTAGGTAGGACGCGTCCAGGAGTTGGGCCACGGTGGCCCTCAGCTCCCGGGACTCCTCGGGGCTGAGCTCTAGCGCGAGGAGGCCACGCGCCCCCTCCTCGGCCTCTGGCCAGCTGGGTGCCTGGGGCTCAAAGGGGACATCACTGTCTCCGGCCAGCGTCCAGCTCCAGGGAGAATCCCCGGCAGCAGCCACCCTGGCGGTGAGCAGGCCCTGCAGGCCAGCCCCAGCCCTGGGCTGCAGCGCCAAGGCGTTGTGCAGAGCAAGCGCCAGCAGCAGGCTGAGGGGCTGCACGGGGCCCTCCTGGGCCAGCCCGGCCCGCAGCGGCCCCAGCGAGGCCCGCAGCAGCCCCGGCTGGCAGCTCTCCAGCTCCCGCAGGCACTCGCACGCTGTGGCCTGTAGGGGGCGCTGCTCCGAGGCGGGGCCGAAGCCTCTGCCCAGGTCGCGGCCCAAGGCCAGGCCGAGCAGCAGGGGCAGAAGCCGGCAGGCGGCCCCCGAGGCGGGGCCCAGCGCTCCTCCGGCCGCCAGAGCGGTGGTGGCCGCCAGGAGCAGGGGCCGTCGCAGCGCCGACGGCCGCGGCGGCAGGAGGACCAGGGTGTCCAGCAGGGAGGCGGCGGCCGCCTCGGCCGCGGGGGCGTCGGGCCACAGCTGGGCCGCGTATTCCAGGCTCAGGGCCAGCAGGGAGACCTGGCACGGGGAGTTGAGGAGAGAATCATGAGGACGGGGTGCGGGGCCTGGCGCGCCGGGCCCGGGGCCCCCGTGCGGGGCCTACCTTGGTCTGCTCGCTCAGCTTGTCACTGCGCAGATCGCTCAGCAGCTCGCGCCCCAGATCCTCGCCCTGGGGACCCGCCAGGAAGGCGCACGGGCTGGCCCGGAAGGCCCCCAGGCGCTGGGCCCAGGCCTCGCGGCTCGGGGGCCCCATGGCCGGCAGGGGGCGCCAAGGGCGCGGCAGGGACCCCTCCCCAGCTAGCACCCCACGCTGAAACCGGCCCGTTCCGGGGGGCGACGCCGGCGCGCGCTGCTGGGGCCCTTGCGGGGCCGGGGGCGCGGTGGCCGCGGTAACGGGCCGGCCGCGCTCTGCGCCGGACTCAGCGGCCGCCGGCTCCTTCCGGGCGCGCGGGGCAGGGCGGGGCGGGCGCGCGCGGGGCCGGGGGCGCGCGGGGCCGGAGCGGGCGCGCGCGGGGCGGGGCGTAACGGGGCCGCCGCCCGCCCGGCAGGTGCCGACTCGCCGGTTTCGCTGGGGCTGAGTAACTGTCCCGCCGCGCGGGGCCCCCTGCCCCGAAACCGCCGCGGGCCGGGGCCGGGCCGGCGCCCAGGCGCCCCGCACCGCGAGCCGCGCGGGGGTGCAGGTCCGCGGGCGAGGGCGGGGGGCGTGCGAGGTGCGGCTCCGGGGCCCGAGCGGGACCGGTCGGACGGGCGCCGCGGGGCTTGGCGTGGCTTCCCTGACGCCAGCCGGGCCCCCACCCGCTCGGCTCGGGGGCGAGCAGCCGGCGCCGGGGTCGCGGGAGGGCGGAAGCCGCTGACCTTTGCCCTCGGCCGCGTCCACGGCCGGCAGGAGCCCTGGGGTGGGGTGGGGGCCCGGGAGACAGCGGGATGCAGCTCCGAGACGCGCGGGGTGGCGGGGCCCGGCGCGTCCCGCACGGCCCGGGAGGCAGAACCTGGCCACCCGAGACCCGGGGCCACGCGCGGCCGGAGCGCAGCGCTCGTGCCTCCCGGGGGCGCCGGGCCCGGGGCTCCCGGGCCGCCCCGCCTGCACCGCCCCACTGACCGCCGGTTTCCAGGGCGCAGAACCGTGGGCGTGCGGGCCCCGCCGCCCGCAGCCCCTAACGCCTCTGGCTCCAATTAGCCGCTTTGAAGATGAAACAGGCCTGAGCCGCCGCCGCGCCGGGCACAGCCGAACGGGCGCGCGGCTCCCCTTCCTCCAAGGCTGGCAAGCCCCTCCCTGCCCCGCCCCTCCGCCGCCCCCACTGGGAGGGCGCTGGGTAGGGAGCGCTAGAAAGGAGGTGCCCAGGGTGCTGGTGGGGGGTGGACGCCGCCACCCGGAGCGACAGGTCCAGCCGGAAGGCCCGGGCGCAGCTCCTCGGGGTCCTGGCTCCGCGGCTGAGTCACAGGCGGCAGCCCCAAGCCACTTCCCTCTGGGTGCCTCAATTTGCCCATCTATAAAATGGGACTGATGACTCCTGCCCAGGAGGCTGTGGGGTGGGGTGGCCCGGCTAATTAAACCCGAGATGAAAGGGGCCAGGGTGAGACCAGCGCTGGGGAGGGCCGGAGCCTGTCTGGTGTCCCGTCTGAGGCCACCGAGGCTGATAGCTGCCTATCTGTGGCCGCGGCCACGCACACAACCAGGAACGACACACACACACAGCCAGCCCGCTCGGCTTGTCTGACCCCTGGCTCCCTGGAACCCAGGGTCTTGGGGGAGAGGACAGACCCGTGGGGTGGCTAGGGTGAGCCCTGCTTACGCAGGAGCGAGGCGGTCATTTCCAGGGGCACAGAGCTCCCTGGAGTGGAACGTGGACTTTGGCAAACAGCTGTGGGCTGCACCTGCCTGCTCCCCCACCCCCCCGCCGCCCGCTGGCCTCTCAGGTGTCCGGGCCCCCGGATGGGCCCTGCCCTCCTGTGGGAGGGTAGTGCTGCCTCGGTCCCTGGCCCAGGCCACGCTGGGCCCGGCAGGCCCGGCTCCGTGCCCTGCCTCATTCCTTCCCCATGTCGTCCCCCTTGCAGCCTGGGCCTGGGCTCAAGCCTGCACTCAGGCCCGGATAAAGGCAGGTCAGCTTCGCGGGGAGCTGCGAGCCGTGTCCTCAGGGCGGGCGCGGGGACACCCAGAGCAGCCTGGGCCTGGGCTCAAGCCTGCACTCAGGCCCGGATAAAGGCAGGTCAACTTCGGGGGGAGCTGCGAGCCGTGTCCTCAGGGCGGGCGCGGGGACACCCAGGGCAGCCTGGGCCTGGGGGAGGGGGCGGCAGAGTGACAGCTGATGGATGGACCTGCTCTGTCAGCGGCCAGGTGTGTGTGACTGTGAGGAGACCCCCCCAACACACCTCACCTAAGGGGGAATTTTAAACTTTTTGAATTACATTTTTTAATTAATTTATTTGAAAGGTGAAGTTACAGAGGCAAAGAGAGCATTTTCCTTCCACTGGTTCACTCCCCAAATGGCCACAACGGCAGGAGCTGGGCTGATCAGGAGCCGGGAGCGTCTTCCAGGTCTCCCACATGGGTGCAGGGGCCCAAGGACTTGGGCCAGCTTCTACTGCTTTCCCAGGCCACAGCAGAGAGCTGGATTGGAAGTGGAGCAGCCAGGACTCAAACCAGCACCCATAGGGGATGCTGGCACTGCAGGTGGCGGCTTTACCCGATACACCACAGCGCTAGCCCCTGAATTAGATCTTTTTTAAAAATCTATTTAAAATGAGGGGAGGGGGTGGCACTGTGGCGCAGCGGGTTAAAGCCCTGGCCTGAAGCACTGGCATCCCATATGGGCACTGGTTCTAGTCCCGGCTGCTCCTCTTCCGATCCGGCTCTGCTATGGCCTGGGAAAGCAGTAGAAGATGGCCCATGTCCTTGGGCCCCTGCACCCACATGAGAGACCCGTAAGAAGCTCTTGGCTCCTGGCTTCAGATCGGTGCAGCTCTGGCCGTAGCGGCCATCTGGGGAGTGAACCCGTGGATGGAAGACCTCTCTGTCTCTATCTCTCTCTGTAATTCTGTCTTGCAAATAAATAAAAATAAATCTCAAAAAAAAAAAAAAATGGGCAGCAGGAGCCTCAGAAGAGGTTCGGCCTGGTCCAGGCCTGGCCTGCTGGGGGCCAGGGGAGCAGGCGGTGCGGCTGGCACGTGGGGAGCCAGTGGGGAAGGGGCTGGCTGTGCCGTCAGCGGGGGGCAGGTCGCGTACGGTGTTGTAGTTGCCATTAAGCGACCTGAGGTTTGAGCAGAGGGGAGCCGTGGTCGCACCTGGATTCTGGTTTTTTTTTTTTTTTTTAAGTTTTACTCATTGGGGAGCTCCCACCCACTGGTTCAGTCCGCAGAGGCCTGCAATGGCTGAGCTGGGCCAGGCCGAACCTGGGAGCAAGGACTTCACTTTGGGTCTCCCACGTGGGTGGCAGGGACCCCCGTACCTGACCCTCATCACCTGCCGCCCCCAGGAAGCTGGACTCAGACCCGGCAGCTCCCACCTGCAATGCAGGTGCCTTACCTGCCCGCGCCCAGCACCTGCCCCGCACTGGGGCTGGAACCAAGGACAGCTGCCGTGGGGGGCTGCTCGTGGTGCGGGGGCTATGTGGAGATGGCACAGCCCTGGCCAGTAGGCGGATGTGTGGCGTCGGGAGAGAGCGAGGTGGGGGACTGGGGCCTTGAGCACCTAGACGCTGAGGGTTCCAGCATCCAAGACCGGAAGGGATGTGGGAACTGTGCACTTGGGATAAACCAGCAGGGAGACCGGTGGCTGCCGTGGGGCAGAGCCCCTGGCTGCAGCTGCCCCCTAGCACCTCGGCCGCCTCCCCCAGCAGCCCCAGCGGCCCTGGCCCGGGTCGGGAGGCCAGAGGCGGGATCTCAGCATGTCACTCAAGGCCCTTCAGTTTGTCCTGCTGTGCCTATCAGAGGGGCAGTGGGCGGCAGGCAAGGAGCTGCTTGGCGAGTAGTCGGGGGGCTGCTGGCCGTCGGGGCACAAGCAAGCGAGGCCTCTGCCGGCTGCCAGCCCCCTCCCCACGCCCACCACCTCCCAGAGGCCTTGCTGGGGGACAGACTTGGGGGTTTCAAACCTTCTGCCCCCACCAGCTCCCGCTCGCTCTGCCTCAGGATGGGGGGGCTGACACCACTCCCGGGAGCCAAGTCCTCACCCAGCCTGTGGTTCCCCATCCTGCCCTCCCCGCCCCGTGACGCCATGGTGCCAACAGAGACGCCTTGGCAGAACTGCCTGGGAGTGGCCCGCTTGGCTCGGTCTGCAGTGTGGCCCGGGCCACCGCTGTGCCCTGTGTGGTGGGCTCCTCGCTGGTCCCGCCACCCACACCCATTGTGCAGCCCCTGGCTCCCCACCACCCTGAACCCCGTGTGCTGTGGCCGGCCGGCCTCCGCCCCTCCCCAGCCAGCCACGGAGTCTCGGGGTCCTTGTGGCTGCTCTGAGGCCATCCACGCTCAGCACCCCTGCCTGCCACCACCTCTGGCTAAATGTCCTCCCCAGCGTTCCTGTCTTCTGTCCGCTCGCATCACAGGATGGCCAGTCCCCGGCACAGAGGAGGCGCCCAGTAAGTACTGACTGAATACAGGACGGATGAATGAGATCAGCCCACAATGAGGCCGGAGATGCCTGTAGCGTAGCGGGTAAAGCCGCCGCCTGCAGTGCCGGCATCCCATTTGGGCGCCGGTTCAAGTCCCGGCTGCTCTCTTCTGATCCAGCTCTCTGCTATGGCCTGGGAAAGCAGTAGAAGATTGCCCAGGTCCTTGGGCCCCTGCACCCACGTGGGAGACCTGGAAGAAGCTCTTGGCTCCTGGCTTCAGATGAACCCAGCTCTGGCCATTGTGGACATCTGGGGAGTGAGCCTGTGGATGGAAGACCTCTCTCTGTGCCTCTGCCTCTCTCTCTGTAACTCTGCCTTTCAAATAAAATAAGTAAAGTTGAATAAGCGCTGCCTGCCCTCACAGAGCGGTTTGACTCCACACTCGCCCATGTTCACGCTCAGCGTCTGGTTCTGGCTCTGCCGGGAGCTGCAGCCCACACGCGGGTGGCCGGTGGGTGCAATCTAACCCACAGAGGGGCTCTGTTTGGCCCACCCTATGTTTTCAAAGGGCCAGAGCTAACATTCAACAGTCAGTGGGTTTCACAAATTAGGTTTTCCATCTTGGAAAATGGGAAGATGTGGCCACGCTGGGTTTCTGTGTTCACACAACACGACTGTGACTGCCTTTTTATTTTTATTTTTATTATTTGAGAGACAGGAAGACAGGGCTGCCGTTCACCCGCTCACTCCTCCAGTGCCCCAGTTAGAGGGCCGGGCCAGGCCAGGCCCCGCACGTGGGTGGTAGAAGCCCAGTTACTTGAACCATCCTCTGCTGCCTCCCAGGGTCTGCGTGAGCAGCAAGCTGGAGCCAGGAACAGAACCAGAACTCAAAGCGTGCATTCCCACGCGGGAGGTGGGTCACAAGCCAGACGTGCCCCGCAGGACTGCGCCTGAGACGGGCACAGTCTCCTCCCCCTCGCCACTCCCCGCACACACACTCAGCTGGCATCACCCACTCACCGGTCAGCACAGAATCTGCAGTACTATTTTCCTTACCTTCAACTTGCTCTGTGCCTATGTCTACCACAAGCAGGAACGTGAATGGCAAATGGGACCCAGGAGCCAAGAAAACGGGGCATTCATTCATTCAGCAAATATTTACTAACGACCCACCTGGTGCCAGGCACAGCTGCGGAGGCCGCGAACGGGGCCGTGAGCAGCATGGACCAGCACCGCCCACTCCTCAGGCCAGGGGCCTCCGTCCAGACGCGCTGGCCAACTGGAGGCACTACACTGGCTGCTTCACCCTGGACGCCCCCACGAGAAAAGTCTGTCCACGCGGACTCCACAGTACCCGCTGAGCACCCGCTGCCCACCAGCCGGGCAGGTGCGTGCCCAGGGCGCGTTTGCCAGGTGAATGGACCAAAGTCACGGCTCTCCCAGACAGGCTGGGTGTCCGTGTTGTTGGAACGGCCTCCCGGGAGAAGTGCCCAGCAGGTGCCCGATTTAATGTCAGGGGAAAGAAAGCATCAGGCCGGGGCGGAGGCCCCACAGGGGAAGGGTGGGCTGCACAGAGCCGGGGGGTGTCCACGTTGGGGGGTGGGGGGCGGGGGCAGGGGGCAGGCTGCTGGCCAGAGCTCCCGTCCCTCCCAGCGTCCCAGGAGGCAGGAGGTGGCATTCTCAAGGGACGGAGGGACAAGGAAAGTCCCTCGGACATACAGGCCGTGGAGTGAGGAGGAGGAGGAGGCCCATCTGGGTGCTCTCCCCACACACCCAGGAGGCGCCCGGCAGAGGGTGGGGGTGGAATGGGACTCCCTGCCCTTGAGAAAACCAATTTCCACCCGACGCCCGGAAGCCGGCCATCAGCAGCCTTCTCTCACGACTGCTGACTTTTGAACTATGTGAATTCATTTATCAGACTCATTTCCTCTCAATCTGTTCCTTGTCCCAGCCACAGGTAAGACTCCCTGGGGAAGGCAGCAGGTCAGGAGGAGGGACTCTGAAACGTCCGTTTATTTGATACTGGGGAGGGGGGCGGCGGGGAAGGGGAGGGTCTCCTCCCTGGCCTTGATGGATAGATGGGAAAAGAATGGCCCTGGCCAAAGTGTCACAGGATCTCCACGGTGGCCCCCAGCAGGGCCTGGGGACCCAGCGGAGCCGATGAATGGGGGGAGGAACCCGGCTGAATCAGCTCCAGGGGTCGGTGGTGGCTGCAGCCGGCAAGAGCGGCAAGAGCGGCTGACCCCGACCAGGTCTGGGTCCTGGGCCCCAAGCTCTCCTCTGGCCTCGCCGCACCTGAGTGAGATCCGGCCAGGCCGGACAGGAAAAGACAGTCTGTGCGGGTGTGTGGTCAGGCCGCGGACTCGTGCGCCCGGAGCCGGTGCGTCCCGCCTCCTCGCCCACCGGCCGGCGCGCTCCTGCGGCCCCCGCGCGCCTTCCCGCACGAAGCCCGAACGCAGCTCACACACGGCTCAGCCCGGCCTTTGGGATCCCCGGGGCCGCCGGGGCGCAGACCCGGTTCCCGCCCCAGCGGCTTCGCGCCTCCCCAGGCGCCCTGGGCGCGCCAGGTCGGGCCGGGCCCAGCCGGGCAAGCTGTATTTCATCACCCGCGGAGCGTGCGAACGCGGTGCAAATAACGTTGCCCCGTCCCCGCCCTCTTCCCCGCTCCCTCCGAAACTCCCCGTTTGCAGACGCCAGCATGCCCCGCGGGAGGTGGCGGGCGGGCGGGCGCCGGGCCCGCAGCGCAGCCGGTGCTGCCCGGCGCCCGCCCCCGCCCCCGCCCGGGCCGCGAGGCCACCTCACCGGCAGCGGAATGGAAACCGGTTCGACAGGTAACAAATAGGTGGGTTGTCACCGTTATTTCCCAACGCATGCGCTGTCGCTCCTCGGGCCACTCCAAGCTAATTAGATCCGAGTAGATCGGATCACACCCGCCCCCCCCCACCGACACACACCGCCGGGAGCCAATAAAGCGTGAACCCGTCCGTCCGGCTCGCACTTTTAGACTTCCAGGGCGGCCGCGGGCACGCCAGTCGACCCGCCAGGCGCTCACCTGCCTCTTCCTCCGCCGCCCGGCGCACCTGGCCACACGCGCCCTGGTCCCGAAGGCGGACGGCCCAACTCCGCGGAGTCGGACCGTCTTTCCGCGGAACGCGGGTGCGCCCCGGAGACCCCGGCCCCGCACCAGCCCCGCACCAGCCCCGCCCCGCGCCGTCCGGCTCCGGGGACCGAAGCGCACCGGCCCGGGAGAGGACGGCTTTAAAATGCCCCGCGCGTTCCTGGTGAAGAAGCCGTGCGTCTCCACGTGCAAGCGGAACTGGAGCGAGCTCCCGGACGAGCAGCGCGGCGAGATCTACGTGCCAGGTGCGCGGCGCGCGGCCGCGGGGACCCCGCGAGCTCGCGAGGGGCCGGCGGGTCGCTCCTCTGCCCGGGGGGGCGCGCACCGGGCTCCCCCGTCGTAAATCCAGAAAGCCGGGATTTTCGGGAGACGGGCGGGGGGCGAGCTGGAGTTTTGCTACGACTCGAACCGCTTCGCTGGGTGTCGCCTCCGCCCCCAGCACGCCGGCGGCCGGGCGGGAGCGCCCCGAGGGTCCCGCGCCGTACCCCGCTGGCCCCGTTAGAGGGGCACCTCCCCCGGCCTCACGGAGGCCAGGGCTGAGCGGAACGGGCTGCAAGGATCCCACCTCCCCCCACCAACTCCACCCCGGGAAGCCGGTGCGCCCGGTTTATTTTTGGAAGACGCCCCGACGGCGTCCGCGTCTACTTCGAATGAGTAACCCGAGGTGTCCCTTCCTCCTCCGGCGGCATCTTCCTGGGTGGTGGGGGGCCCCCACGGGGACGCTCCCGCGCCTTCCGCCTCCCCGCCCCCAGCCGAATCCTTGGTCCGGAGAGGGCCGGCTTCCGTCGTCGCAGCTCCCCCTCCCCGGACTGGGGGTGGGGCGGGGGCTGCCGTCGGCCCGGTGCCTGGGGAGTGGGGGGGAGCGGTTGTAATTAACCAACCGACGTTGACCCTTGATCCACACACAGGCTGGCTGGCACCGCCCCAGGCCTTGCAGGAGAGCCAGGGAGAAGCCCTTGGGTGAGGGGCCCCGGGAGGGGTGAGGGCCCCGGGAGGGCTCGCGCCTCGGTTTCCCTCCCCGGGAAGCTGTTGAAGACAGGGGCGAGGCGGGGAGGCCCTCGTGGGCCCAGCTGCTGTTAGGGAGCAGTGCGCCAGCAGGCATCCCCACTGGGGAAACCGAGGCACTGCTCTTAGGGGGTTGGGCTCGGAATTCTGTGTCACACGCTGCTGGCTCTGCCAAGCCCCCGGCTGGCTGGCTGGCTGGGCCGGCGGGGGGACAGAGCCCCTTCCTGGCTCCGTCCGGCCTCCCACTTGCTGCTCAGTTGCTCCCTGGGATCTGATAAACTGAACTTGGACTGTGGGAAAGGTGACCGCGGGTGCGGTTGTCTAGTTTTACGTCCCATCCCGATCACTAACGGACCCTGTGTGGACTCTCACGGGGACAAAGAAATCCTGCCCTCCCTCCCGAGTCATTGGCCTCCTTGCCCGGTGACACCCCCCACTGCCCACCACACTTCTGGTAACCACAGTGGGGGGAGGTGGGGGGACCTGTACCCCAGGGGCTGTGCTGTGGGGGGCGGAGCGGGCTTCTGGGTGGCCCCCGCCACCTGCTGCTGCTGTCCAGGTGAGGGGACAGGCGGGCCGCTCACTCGGGGTCCCAGCCGTAGGGGGCTCAGCTGCCGGCTGTGGCTGAGGCTTTGCCCCCATCCTGGCCGGGGGTGAGTCCTGTGGGGTCCAGGACGCAGCTCACCTCTGCCTGTAGAAGCCGTGCGGTCCGCGGGAAAGTTTCCCACTGTTTTTGGAACTGAGAGAGGGAATGTGCTCCGTGCACGCCCCGCTGCCTCGGAGGGCTGGGGGGGGGGGCAGGGGGCAGGGGGCGGGGCAGCCTGTTAAGCCATTCCATCCCCAGCCAGCCATGACCCAAGAGCCGGCTGGGCACGTTTCAGCCGCCCCCCTCCCGGCTAAGCACTGACCCTGTTCCCATTGGGCGGGAAGGTGGGGGCCTTTGAGGCCTGACTTCCTGCCGGGGGTCACGCACAGGGAGTGCATGGGGCCGCCCATGCTGAGTGGTGGGAAGGGTCCGGGAGATTTGAAAGGGGGGTGGTGAGGAGTTCACGGCCAAGTCCCGATGTTGCCCCTCCTCTTTGTTTCCTCAAAGGTGACTGCAGGGAAGGGAGTGGGGCCAGGTCTTGGGGATGACCCCAGGCACCTGTCGTTTCAAGAAGCCCCAGAGGAGGGCTGTGGGATCCAGGACGGGTGTGGAGCCACATAGCCAAGCCCCGGGCCCACGGTGGGAACTCTCACGGCAGGAAGGCACTCGCGGGGAGACCAGGCCCCAGCGTCCCCTGCGGGCGTGGTACGGCCGACCCTCTGCAGCTGTCAGGGAGACCCACGCGCTGGCCTCAGCAACGGGAGACCCAGGGCAGCTCTTTGCAGGCCCAGCTGGCGAGGCTGAGGAAGCCGGCTTGGAGTCCAGAGTGTGGGTGCAGGCGCGGGGGCGGGGGGCGGCGGGGGCAGCAGAGGCTAGCCCTCCGACGAGGACGATGGTTCTAGCAATTCCTGGGAAGTGTTCGCAACAGCTGCTGTTTGTCTGGCCGTGCCCTCCAGGGAGCGAGGCTTGGAGAGTGGACAGGCAGCCAGCGCACGAGGGCCGAGGGGCAGCTTGGCCCCCCGGGGAACGGCCGGTCCTGTGGGGTGCTGTTGCCCAGGCTGCTAAGCTGGCTGGCGGGACGTCCCGGGGCAGAAAGAGAGCGGGGAGGGCACATCCTCCTGGCCCAGGGAGGATGGGGGCGGGGTGAAGCGCGGTATCGGGGTTCCTGTGCTACACGTGTCGTACGGAGTCCCACATGCCACCAGGCCCTGCTCTTGGGTGTGCTAAGGGGGCCGCTCAGGGCTGACTGCCCAGTGGACGCCGAGAACGGGGCGGAGAGAGAAGGATGTTGGCAGCGGCAGCTTGGGGCTGCAGGCCCAGGGCGCAACCACGGCGCTCCCGGCTGGTGTCCTGTTGGGCCGGTGCCACTGCCCTGCAGGGATCGGAGGAGGTGGGCACGGAGGACCCCTCCCTGATAAGGGTGCGACCTGAGCTGTGAGGTGCATTACCCCCCCACACACGTAAACACTTGTTCCCCCGCCTCCCTGCTCAGCACCCTGGTGGTCAGCTGGGGCACCCAGCAAGGAGACTGGGCTTTACCTGCTGTCCCCAGAGAGCTAGGGACCAGGCCTCATGCCCTGCCCCGTCCCGTGGCCTTCAGTCAGGTAGACCCACACCAGCACCCACGTTTGGACCCATGGCTTTCAATCCAAGAGAGGGGACTTGCAGAGGGTGAGGCAGGAGAGTCGGTGGGGGGCAGCTGCCCTGGACATGGCCCCTTCTGATAACTCGGAGCCTGGGCCTGGGCCCACAGCCTCATCCAAGCAGGGACAATATGGGCCAACAGGAGGAGAGCCCAGGTGTCCCCTGAGGGCGGAGGCCTGGCTGGTACAGTGTTGCCACACTCCATGGGCAGCCGTGGGCGTCTGATGCGTGGCCACTGTGGCCTCCACCTTGCCGGAAACACCTCATTAGGGGACAGCGGCACAGCAGGGCCCGACCAGTTCTGTTTCCTGCCTCCCTCCGCTGGGCACCACTCAGCATGGGCGGCCCCATGCACTCCCTGTGCGTGCGCCGCGGCAGGGGCGCCCTCACGGGGGTGGCGGGGAGACAGGTTTGGCAGGGTGGGTGCGATGAGGCAACCATCCCCACCCTGGCAGCCTCACCTGCCCCTCGCTCAGGGAGAGAGGCGGCACGGCGCCAACCCCTGGCAGGCTCCCCGGCTGGCCCCAGTCCCTAGCACCAGCCTTCCCAGGTGTGCGAGAAATGGGAACAGCAGGCAAAAGACATGGTTCCCCCCACACACCCCGCCCTGAACTGGCTCAGCTCCTCAGAGCCCCAGCCAGCGAGCCCAGAGCGACGGCCACCACGTCCCAGGCACCTGCCGTCAGGCCTGGCTCTGTGGCTCCGTGTGCAGGCACTGTGGCCCGGCCTTCGGGCGCTCACAGCAGAGGGGAGGGCTCCCGGGCTGTCTCTGCCCCAGGCCCAACTCCAGCCCGCTCAGGGGCCAGGCTGGGGCCGGGCGCTGGTGAATCAACTCCCGGAATGAGGTGGCTGACTCGAGGCCCCCGGCCTGGCCGACGCCAGTGCCAGCAGAACGGGTTCTGGGCAGCAGGCGGCTGTGTTCCCCTCCCAGTAAACCTTTGTTGTGTTTTGAGGGGGCGAGAGCTGGGGCCTCTCCCGAAACTTCGGCGCCTTCCCCCGCTGCCGTGTTCTTCCGCCCCGCCCCAGGCCCCGGCCCTCCTGGGTGGGGGACAGAGGGCAGTCCCCCCAACCCTGCCAGCAGCACGGGCCTCAAGTCCCAGGCTGGCCTTAGGGTGCTGCTCTCTGCCGCCGCCCTGGCTGCCCTGGGTCCCCCTGGGGAGAGCCGCTTTGCAAGTTCCACTTTGCGCCTGCACCGTCAGGGTCTGAGGCCAGGCCTCCCCGCCCCGTTGAACGTGGGGAGCGTGGGGAGCGGCTGTCGGAGGCTGCCCTGCCAGTATCGGTGCCACCGCCGGAGGGAGCCCAGCCCGACCCACGGAGCCCGCTGAGCGGTCCTGGCGTGGGGGAGGGTTGCGTCAGCGCAGGGCAGGCTGCCCGGGGACTGTTAGGCCGATCCACCTGCTGCTCGGTGACCTGCCCACGCCACCCACCTGGCCTGTTTGCCTGCAGAGCTGAGCAGCCGCGGAGGGGGCTTGGAGGCCTGGTGGGCCCGGCCCACCTCGGGGATGCGGGGGCCAGGACCACTCTGACCCCCAAGGCCAGCAGCTGAATCTGCATGGAGGAGGGGCCTAGCCCACCGGGAACCCCTCTGAGCCTCAAGGAGCAGGGTGGGGTGGGGGTTCCTGGCCTGGAACCCAGAGGGACTGGCCCAGGCGGGGCAGGCAGACAGCTCTGCGGGGACAATTGCCAGGGCTGTTCGGGCCTCCCAGTTCCGCTAAGACACAAATTACTCAGCGGGCAGTGGCGCTTGGCTGGCGTCACCTGTAATTACCTTAATGGGACAGGAGGGAGGTGCAGCATGTCGTGGGGTGAGGGCAGCCCCAGCCTGCCGCATGCCTGCAGAGGGAGGCACCGGGCCCAGGTCCCCAACACCTCGCTGCTTGGGCCCCTCCCTGACGCCCCCGGCCCCTCTTCCCTGCCCACACCCCTCACCTGGCTCCCTTCTCTCCCCAGTCAGCCTGGGCTTCTGCCCACCGCAGCCCTACCGGGAGCCGGAGCCGTCCATAGCCGAGCCCCCCGCCTGCCCCCTGGCACTGGACATGAGCACCCGGGACCCCGGCTACAGCCTGGCACCGGGACCCTGCGTGGTGGCCCAGCTGCCCTCGGAAGACATGGGCCGCGTGGTAGACGTCCAGAGCCGGGAACATAGCTTCCTGCGCACCAAGATGAAGGTAACCGGTCCCAGGCCTTCTCTGGGGACCGGGCGCATGTGGGGGACCTGTGTCCGGCCCACGGGCCGTGGCGCGAGTCTGACGGAGACGGAGACCTGCGCCCCAACCCCGGGTTTCTGCAGAGAAGTGAACGTAGCTGGGACGTGTGCGGGAGGGCCGGGGTCCCAGGGTGGTATCCCTTTAGAGCCGCGACCCTGGGTTGTTGAGTTTCTTTACCCGAAGCCCTGGGCTGAGCAGTGAGCGGTGAGCCCGGCTCAGCCCCGCCTCTGGGCCGCCTGCCTGTGCCTCATGGAGAGTGAGGTCAGGAGGCGTCCACGTGGTGGCAGTGGCGGGGACCACCTTGCACTCGGGGCAGGGCCTAGCTGAACGCCCCCACGGCCTGGGGCTTGCACCTCGCAGGCTGTCCCCTGGCAGGGTCTGTACCCTTGGAAGCTCTGGGGCCTGCAGGGGTCGGCCCCAGTGAGCTGGTGGGAGGGGACTCCTTGCACAGAATTCTGGTCCTCGCCCCGCTGTCCACAGAGGCCAGGGGTGGGGGACTGGACTGGGGGGTGCCCTCAGACACGCACTGGGCATGGCCAGAGCCAGCGGGGGGGCTCTCCTAATGCTGGAGGCGCCCCGTCCCCCCCCCCCATAGGAGGAGCTGGGTTCTTCTCCCACTTGCAAAGGCAAGGCAGAAGAGGGGCCCCGGATGACGAGGTGTGGCCTGCTGTCCCCAGCGGTCAGGCTCACTCGCAGTACAGAAGCCCCCGAAATGTTGACAGAGGCCGGGCCCCCGGTGTGCCAGCCGCAGCTCCTCTGGGCGGTACACCTGCAGAGGCGTCTGTGGCATCTGGGACTTGGCACCCGGCGGTCCTAGGCGGGGCAGACAGCCGCAGGCAACAAGGCCGGCCCTGAGCACCGGCCATCGGGATTTGGCCTCTCCAGCTTTGTATGACTTGGAAATTTCCCATCATTAAAAAAAAAAAAAAATCAAAAAGGTTGATAGGCAAGAACACCCTCTGGGTGGCAAAGGGTTCCAACCACGTGGGGGCCCGGCTGGCCACGGCTCTCCGTCCCGCGCGGGAGAACGGGGGTCGGTGAGGCCTGCCTCCCCCAGCCACTGACCAGCAGGTAGAAGGCTGCCCGTCCGCAGAAACCAGAGTAGGCCTGGGTGACCACCTGAGCCTGGGGTGCAGGGGCGGCCCCCGGGCGCCTGGCTCTGACCCTCCCCCGCCCACAGGTGACCCTGGGGGACGGTCCCGGCGGCGACCTCTTCACTTGTCACATCTGCCAGAAGACGTTCAGCTACCAGCGCATGCTGAACCGTCACATGAAGTGTCACAATGACATCAAGAGGCACCTGTGCACCTACTGTGGGAAGGGCTTCAACGACACCTTCGACCTGAAGCGGCACGTGCGCACGCACACCGGTAAGCGAGCGCCTGGCTGGCGGGGGCGCCCCGTCCACCCCACCCCCCACGCCCAGGTCATTGCTGCGACTTTGGGACTTGCGAGTCCCTGGGGAAGCTGGCGTGGGAGGAGCTTCCGCCCACCCCTGTCCGCGTCCGGTGGGTCCCTGACTCAGCCCCTCCCCGCCCCTTCCCCTGCCCCGCAGGCGTGCGGCCCTACAAGTGCAGCCTGTGCGACAAGGCCTTCACCCAGCGCTGCTCGCTGGAGTCGCACCTCAAGAAGATCCACGGCGTGCAGCAGAAGTACGCATACAAGGAGCGGCGCGCCAAGCTGTACGTGTGCGAGGAGTGCGGCTGCACGTCCGAGAGCCAGGAGGGCCACGTCCTGCACCTCAAGGAGCAGCACCCCGACAGCCCGCTGCTGCGCAAGACCTCCAAGAAGGTGGCCGCAGCCCTGCAGAGCACGGTCACCTCCCTGCTGCAGGGCAGCCCCCGCCTCTGAGCCGCAGCCGCCCTCCTGACTCGGCCCCCCACCCCTGCAGGCCTGCGCGCGCACGTGGACCGGGCTCCGGCCCCTGCCCTGCCCTGCACGTCTGCCTGCGGCCAGAGACTGCGCTGGGCCCCGGGCCGTGGGTGCACGGCGGCGGGCCTGGGGGGGGGGTGCACTCGGCTTGCACACGCGTGTGCAGACGCCTTCCCACGGATCACCTCATGTTTAAGAAATCAGCTACAAGGTGCCAAGGAGGTTTTAGTTCCTTTTTTTTTTTTTTAAGATACAAGTGTACAGATAGTAATATATTTTTGGTGCCAATGGCGACTGTTTTTAAGAGAGGGATGGAGCTGGCTTTTCTCCACCCCTGCCGTTCTATTTATCCTGCACATTTCTGACCTGTGTGCCTCGGCTCTGGGGGGCGGCCCTCTCGGGGATACCAGGGCTGCCTTCAGCCACCCAGCACGCCTCCTCTTCCTCCGCTCCCGCCTCTCAGGGAGGAGCCACCGTCCGGGGGGCGGGGCTCTGGGGCCAGCCAGGTGGGATGAGGAAGGAGCTTTGACGGCTGCCTGATTAAGTCGGCAACCCTTGCACCGCAGGGGACCAGCAGTAACCAACACCTCACAAACTTCCGGGGGAGGAGGTATTAGATGGCCTTTTATTTTTGTTTTGACTGTTTTTCCCTTGGCCTCGCTGGGATCCCAAAGTCCCTCAGGGCTGGGCGGCTCAGGCTCCCTTGATGACACCGGGTCTCCTGCTGATAAGCAGAGGCCCGCAGGGGCTAGGGGCAGCCGCTGGACAGTGACGGCGGGGCAGACACCAGAGACCACAGAGCGCGCCAGGCTGGGCAGCCCCGGAAGCCAGACCCCGCGTGGAGCCAGCGGGCCCCGGCACTGGCCGGGTGCGGGGAAGGCGCCTCCCGGGGCCGTCTGTAGGGTGTGGACTGACTCGAGCCTCTTGCTCTGTGTCCAGGGAGCTGCTGTCTTCTGAAAACGTTATCTATAAAACCCGCCTTATCTGGAACCTCCGTTTGTGTTTACATTTCTGTATCCCTGGGTTCAGCGTGAGGCTGTGTTGTCGGTTTCATTTTATAACCTACCCCAGCTAGCCAGGGAACTGGTGGCTCCCAGCGTTTCTGACTTTTCTGTCTTACGGGCCACGTCTTCCCGGTGCCACGAAATCCATCACAGCGAGTGGTGCGCTCCAGCCGAGGCAGGGACCCGGCCCGCCCGGCTCCCGCGACGTGGGCTGGGATGCCTGACCTCGTGCCCCGCAGTGGAGGCCCCGCTGGCTGTAGCCTCCAGGCTCTGCAGCGACGCAGGCTCCCAGCCCCAGCCTCTCTTGCTGGCACAGGGCTCAAAGTCCACGGCACTTCCAGGCAGGCACCTTGGGGCGACGCCCACACTCTGGGTCCAGCCCCCTGGCATGGCCCCTCCAGCGCCACCCCCCAGCAGAGAAGTAAGCAGCCCCAAGTCTCACCGCTAACTGGGGGAGGGGCTGGGTTCCAACCCTGCAGATCAGCCGGGGGGCACTCAGCCGGGCACTGGCAGGCTTTCCCCGTCACCTGGCCCGGGTGGCGCCGGGGAACCTGGTCCCTGAGCCTCAGCTGAGTGTTGGTCTGTCGCACCCGGCCAGCTGGACGAGGAGGGAGGAGTGGGTGACAGGAGCCCGCAGGCCCGACCCTCACTGCATCTCCTTTAGCAGCGGCCAAGGGAAACTTCTCTTCCCCGTGAAACTCCGGCCACATCCGTTTCCCCGTCCCGTGCCGAGTCCACAGCCCGGTGCTGGGGCCGCAGACGTCACGGCTTGAGGAGCAGAAGGGACCTGGGCAGGGGGCAGAGGGCAGGCCCTGGCCAGGAGGTCACCACATGGCCAGGGACAAACAACCTGGCCAGACTCCAAGCCCAGGGAACCCCGAAAGGGGTCCTTTGCTTGGACAGAACTAACGCTCCCGGGGCGGGGGGCGGGGCGGATGCAGAGCCCAGCCTGGCGGGAAGAGGGCAGCATGGGAAGGAGCAGAGGACCATGGAGGCCCCCCGGGGTCAGAGACCCCCAGGACAGGAGCCTGGCAAGGGGATGGGCGGGGCCTCTGAGGCTGGCTTCCTGCAGGCGGCCTCACCACAAGCCCTGCCCAGGAGCCAAGGGCTGAGAGCAGAGCAAGCTTCCAGGAGCACTGTCGGGGCGTGGCCTGGCGCGGGAGGGCGCAGGGTCGCACCACTGGACCCAAAAAAGAAGCAGGCGCCGGCGAGATTCCTTCTCTGCGAGTGTTTGTCTTTTCTATCGTGAGCACACGTTGTTCGCACAACCAGAGCGGGTCAGCCATAAAACAATTCTGGGGCTTCCTGACGTGGGGTCCTCCACGGGGGCCCGGGGCTGCCTCCGCCATGCCCCGACAGGGCTCGGGGGATCCCCAGGGCCCGCGGGCGGCCGCAGCCCAGGCTCCCCGCTCTGCGTGACCTTGGGCGAGTGACAGCCTTGCAGTTTCCTCGTGTGTAAAATGCGGCGAGTCCAGAGTCCAAAAGGCCCTTTCCGCTGTAAAGACTTTATGTCTCCAGGCCCCCGACTGGACGGAACCTGCCGGGAACTCGCAGGCTGCGGCCGACCCGGGGGCACGAAAGGCTGGGAGGGGGCCCCGACGGCGCTGGCCTGCGGAGGAGGCGCACGGCTTGCTCAGCGGCCTCCGTGGGGAGAGCCTGTGCCCAGCGAGAGGGCCCCCCCCCGGGCGCTGCTCAGGGAGGGAGGAGCCGAGGGTGCTGGGTCCCAAGAGGGCGGCCAGAGAAGGGCCCCCATAGTCCCCATGTGGAGCCACAATGCACTGGTCACTCCCAGGCCCCATGGCCATTCCTGCAATGGTCACTCCCAGGCCCCATGGCCATTCCTGCACTGGTCACTCCCAGGCCCCATGGCCATTCCTGCAAAGGCACAGCCAACGTGAGGATGGGGATGGAGAAGAACACACTGGCAAGGCCAAGGTCAGTGGGGTGGCCAGCCCTCTCGGGCCTGGGGCGATGGAGAGCCTGTGTCCCTGTCCACGTCGGCCTGGGCACATCCGTCCGTCTGCTCCCCCGGGCGGTGGCAGTCACCTGACCCAGGAGGTCGTGCCCCCTCCATGTCCAAAACCCATCTGCTTCCCTCGTGCCTCCCGCCAGCCCCTTCCTGGCCCAGGGCCCTCCCACCCAGGCCAGCACCGCGACCCAGCCTCTCTAGCTCCTAGGAGCACGCCGTCAGCTCTCGGGCCCCGGCAGGCGGTGTGCGGGCAGCAGGCTCAGCACTGGGTCGCAGGGCTTGGGTGGGGAGCAGGTGGAGTCAGGCGTGGCGCTCCCAGTCCTGGGCAGGCCAGCTGCCTCGCAGACTAGAGCTCCCAGGTTCCGCTGCCAGATTTCACCGCTGGCACAGTTCCTCGGGGCACCTCCACCTCCACTGTGGGAGGGTCCGGGCCTGGGCACTCTGCTGCCCATTCAGCTTCCCACGACGCAGCAGGTGGGGGACCAGGATGGAGGGCCTGGCTCCTGGCTTCGGCCTGGCCCTGCCCTGGCTGTTGCGGCCATTTGAGGCGGGAACCAGAGGGAAGATCTCTCTCTCTCTGTCTCTCTCTCTCTCTCTCTCAGTACAGAATTTCCCACTTCATGTTTCCAGAGCGTGGTTGGCCTGCGTTGGCTGGAAGCATAGGAAGAGGAGCTGTGGATAAGAGGAAGCCACTGTAAAACTGTTACCTGCACCCTTACCCAATCCATCTTTTCAAACAGAATAAAACACAAACCGGGTCGCTACACGTGCTCAGACGTGAGGGCGCTGTGTAGCCGGCCTCCGTCACAAACGGTGCGCTCTCGCCTGTCCTCAGACTCGAGGGGCGGCTGACACGCGCCCCCACCCCCCACAGAGAGGAGAGCTGGGCAGCACTGCCCACCAGCGTCACGGCGGCTGGGCACCCCCAGCAGAGGGACCCTGGCAGTCGGGAGTGGGACCAACCCAGCAGAGGCTCCGGGACACCCAGAGAGGCCCCGCGTCCCTTCCTGCTGACCCAGAGTTCCTGGAGCAGGAGCTGTCTGCCGTGGACACACGGGGCTGCCGTCCCAACCATGGCCTCATTACGGAGCTCCTACTGGGCGCCAGGTCACAGGGCGAAAGCTGAGCCTCCCTGTGGCATCACCTCCAGTCCCACAACCCACCCACGGAGCAGCCATTACTGCTGCTGTTCTTAGACAAGCTAACTGGGGCTCACGGCGGGTGAGGGACGCAGCCGGGCTCTGACCCCGGGGTCTGCTGGGCGCCAGCTTGGACTCTGGCCCCTCAAACCCCCAAAGAGCGTGGAAGGAACGAGCCTGTCCATCCAGGTCTCCGAAAATGCCCTGGACACAGAGTGCCTTCCCCGTGCTGGGTGCCAAGGTGTCTAAGGCGGGCCCTATCCAGAAACCCACCGGGAGGGGGGCCATGCGCGGCTCAGTGCCCACCAGGGAGCAGCTGGCCCCACCAGCCAGGAGCACGGAAGATGGTGCTCGCGGGGGACTCTGGCCTGGAGCAATCTCTCAAGCTCCCCGCTGTCCCCCATGTCAACAGCGATGAGACGCCGGGAGAGCAAAGCCCAGGCACCACGGTCGCCTCGCCTGGCCCGACGCAGCCGAGGTCGCCCCGCGCTCCCCAGCCGAGCACCACACCCAGCTGCAGGGACAAAAGGCCAAAGACCGTGCAGGGAGAGAGGGTGCCCGCGGTGGGAGCTGTCTGCCAAATGTCCCAAACCTGGGAGAAGGGGCAGGCGGGGACAGCACCACCACGCTCAGGGCACCCGGAGCAGGTCGGGGTGCTCCGAATCCGCCCCACACCCTCCCAGGACAGGCCCTGACCCCCTCCCTACAGGCCCAGTTCTCCTGCATCAGCAGCTCGGCCTGGCCGGTCTGGCCACTCCCTGCCCGGGGCCTGCAGGTAACAGGCCGGCACGTCCTCTGCCCCACTCACAGCAGCGGCTGAGCGGCTGAGGGAGACCAGGAGAACTGGACGGGCTTGCGTGCCTCCTGCCAGCCGCACGGCGGGCGGCGCTGCCAGTGGTGATCAGAGGCCGGTGGAGTGGGCCTGCCCGGGACGCAGGGAGGGGGAGGGCGTGCAGGCCGCCCAGGGCCCTCCTCAGGAGCAAGAGGGGACCCCTGCGTCGGCCTCCAGTCCTTGCCATGAGGAGCCACCTCTGACGCCCCCCACAAGAGCACGCCCCTCTGACACGGCTGCCCCCTCCACCCTTCTCCCCGGGCCTCGGAGACAGCCTGGTTGGGAGAGGCGGGGCTTGGTGCCCGCACAGGCAGAGCTGGGGCATCAGTGGGCTACATACAAACAAGACGCAGCATGAGCTGGCAGCAGGCAAATGGTGTGGATGAGCTGCTTGGGGAAGGGCTTCCAATGACAAAAGTCACCCCACAGCACCAACCCACTCATCATCAAAGAAAGGAAACCAGAAGGGGCCAGCACTGGGCCCACAGGTCAAAGCCTTGGCATCCCGGTCCCGGTGCCGTCTGAGCCCAGCTGCTCCGCTTCCGATCCGGCTCCCTGCGAATGCACCTGGGAAGGCAGTAGCAGCAGGCCAAGCACTGGGGCCACGGGGAGAGCAGTGTGGAGTTCCCCTCTCCCTCTCCCTCTCTCTCTCTCTCTCTGTCTCTGCCTCTCTCTCTCCCTCTCCCTCTCTCTCTGTTACTCTGCCTTTCAAATAATTAACTAGGTGAATCTTTTTTAAAACATGAAAATTAGATATTCTATTTATTTATTTATTTTTAAAGATTTATTTTACTTGAAAGTCAGAGTTACATAGAGAAGGAGAGGCAGAGAGAGAGAGTGGTCTTCCATCTGTTGGTTCACTCCCTAGTCGGCTACAATGGCTGGAGCTGCGCTGATCCGAAGCCAGGAGCCCAGAGCTTCTTCCAGGTCTCCCACAGGGGTGCAGGGGCCCAAGGACTTGGGTCATCCTCCACTGCTTTCCCAGGAGCATTAGCAGGGAGCTGGATAGGAAGTGGAGCAGCCGGGACTAGAACCAGCGCCCATAT